AGAGAGAGAGAGAGAGAGAAAGAGAGAGAGAGAGAGAGAGAGAGAACTCTGGTTAAGAGTGAGTGCTGTTCTTGAAGAGGACTGTTGCTTCTGGCCTCCAGGGATGAGCATGTACACGCACACACACACACACACACACACACAATATTAAAAATAACACATATACACAATTAAAAATAGATAGTAAGCAAAATATAAAGAAAAAGTTTAGAAAAATTGCTTCCGTGATTTAGGCATAGTGGCACATGCCTATAGTCTCAAGAACAGGGAAGCAGAGGGAAGAAGATCACAAATTCAAGTCCAGCATGGGCTAAATAGTACACTCCAGGCTAGCCTGAGCTATTCAGGGAAACCCTGTCTAAGAAGAAAGGAATTTTCTTCTTTCCCTTAGGGGTAAACAGAAGCTGAGGAAGGTATTTAAGCATCCAAGGGACTGGCTCAGTTAACACAAGATCAGCCAGGTCCTGCTCAGGCCTGAGAATAAAATCACAGCACAACTCTGAGGCCTTGTTAGCCAGGAGCTCTTGTCTGAAAGAATCATAGACCAGCATTCATGGTACAGAGTACTCCTTGAAATATAAGAGAGGTTTATGGGATGCTACAGGAACCCCGAGAAGGGCTCCCTAATCCAGCTGAATGGGCACACTGAGTTCTGGGGGAGAGGATGGGAAGGGTCCCCAATTCCTAGGAGAACTGAGCGCAGAAGGCTTATGCTATGAGTAGATGAAGGTGGCACTCCCGGGAAAAAGGATATTGAAACAGAGGCACAGAGAGAAGAGAGAAAAGAACCCCGGTTTGGTGCCTAGCATGGTGGCACTGGGAAGATTGATGTAGCTTGGTTTGAGGCCAGCTTGGGACATCTAAGTGTGTGTGTGTGTGTGTGTGTGTGTGTGTGTGTGTGTGTAGTTTTAGTCATTGATCTATTGCTGTGAAGAGACACCATGACCAAGGCAACTCTTATGAAAAAGTAAGCCTTTAATTGGGGGCTTGCTTAGAGTTTCAGAGGTTCGTCCATTATTATCATGGTGGGGAATATAGCTGCATGTATGGTGCTGGAGCAACAGCTAAGAACTTTGTATACGTGGGCAGTAGGCAGAGAGAGACTGGGCCTGGTGTGAACTTTTGAAACCTCAAACCCTATCCCAAGTGGCACACTTCCTTCAATAAGGCTACACACTTATTCCAACAAGGCCACACCTCTTAATCCTTCTAATCCTTTCAAACAGTTCCACTCCCTGGTGACTGAGCATTCAAATTTAGGAGCCTATGGGCTATTCTCATTCAAGCTTTTTTGGTGTTATGGTCTGCTTTATTTTGAGACAGGATCTCACTATGTAGCTCTAGCTGGCCTGGAACTTGCTGCTTTGACCAAGTTGGCCTCAAACTCACAGAAATTTGTTTGCTTCTGTTTCCTGAGTGCTGGGACTAAAGGCATGCACCCTCATGCCCAGGTGAAACTGCATTTTTAAAGTTTAGATGTATTTGTTTTATGGATATGAGTATTTTGCTTGCATGTATGTGTATGTACCATGTAAATATCTATTGCCTGCAGAGGTCAGAGGAGGGCATCAGGATTCCCTGGTATCAGGGTTATAGACTCTTGTGAGCCACCATGTTGGTACTGGGAAGCAGCATGTGTCCTCTGCAAGAGCAGCAAGTGCCTTTAACTGCTGTACCATCTCTTTAGACCCAAGAACTATATATTAAATAGACCAGCAGTTAGGTGTGAGCTGAATCCAAGAGGAAGTTCCAGGTTCTTAGGATCCCCACTAGAGGTGGATTGCATGGTCAGGAGGGTCTGATTTGTTGGGCTACACGACTTTACCTGCCAAGAAGTGACTTACTGACTTTTTTTTTCTTGTTTGTTTACTTACTGGTGGCAGAATCTAGCATAGTATCTCAGGCTGACCTTGAACTCACAGCAGCATGTCTACCTCCATCTCCCAGGTGACAGGGGAGAACCACCACACCTAGTGGAAGTTTGTTCTTGATAAGATCGAAAGTGGAAAGAGAAGGTGGGAGAGGAAACTGAGAGGTGATTGTTCCTTCAAGGGAGAGGTGAAATAAACAACAGTGACCTTAAGTAGAAGGGGGGTGGCTTGGAGAGTTTCTTTGGGAAATAACATCTATAGATCTTGACATCTGATTGGTGGGAAGAAGAGCATGTATTTGTGAATGACAGCTGCATTAGTCCAGGTGAGCTAAAGGACTGGAACCAATAGACCATGGATACACATTATAAGGGGATTTGCTAGATTGGCTTACAGGATAAGGACTGGGCATTCCAACAGTGTCCATCTCTATGTTAGAGAGGCTAAGAACTTTGTAGCGACTTGGTCCACAAAAGTTGGATGCCTCATTGTTGGAAGACCCGGAAGTTGTCTGGATAGTCACTAGTATTCATTTAGTCCACGCTGGAAGGCGAAAGAAGCTGGCATTCAATATCAGCAGAGGGTGGCGGTGGCGGTAGACAATCCTCAGAAGGAAGAAGCTGAGGCAGGCGTCACTACTTTTTCCTTAGACATCTTTATATTTGGGTCACCGTTTAGAAGGTGTTAGTTGCTCTGAAGGCAAATCAGTCACCCAGTTAATACTGAACACTCTGCCAGAAACACCTCAAGGTATGTCTCCAAGGAGATTCTACACCCCTCCAAGCTAAGAGGCAAAACCAAACATCAGGGACTGGGCAGAGGGTTCTGTGATTTTTAAGACCATGTGCTGCTGAGAATGGTGGCGCAAACCTTTAACCCCACCACTCAAGGTCTCAGCGGCAGTGGCAAACGGATCCAGGACCATTCCAGGACAGCCAGGACTATTATTACACAGAGAAATCCTGTCTCAAAAAACAAAACAAACAGCAAAAACAAGCTTGTATACCACTACTCTTACTGAGAACCCAAGTTCAAATCCCAGCACCTACATGAGGCAGTTAGCTCATAAGCACCTGTAGCTCCAGCTCCAGGAGATCTGATATTCTCAATCTCTCTCCTCTCTCCAGACTAATAAAGCTCTAGCTGCTCTAGAACTCACTAAGGAAACCAAGCTGGCCTTGAACTCAGAGAGCTACCCCTGCCTCCTCAGTGCTGGGATTAAAGGTGTGCCACCAAGCCTGACTGATTCTTATTTTAAAGACTAAGGAAGGGCTGGATAGATGGCTTTCTGGTTTAGAGCACTTACTGCTCTTGCAAAGAGCCCATGCAGTGCCAGCACCCACATGCTGGCTCACAACTACCTGTTAACTCAGATTCCAGGAGACCTGACATTACTGGGCTAGGGGTTTTTGTTTGTTTGTTTGTTTTTAAATGATTTATTTATCTTTATTTTGTGTACATTGGTGTTTTGCCTGCAAGTCTGTCTGTGTGATAGTGTTGCATCCCCTGCAACTGGAGTTAGACAGTTGTGAGCCACCTAGTGGGTGGTGGGAATTGAACCCAGTAGCTAGGATTTTGATCCCAGCAATAACTCTAAGCCTTCTTGGCTGAGATCCCAGATGGGGGAATCATTTCTTTAGCTCGCCTTTGTTCAGACTGTCATGCCCCACATGCCCTCAGGAGGCTGTACTTACCTAACCACTCCAAGGTACATTAACAGTTACAGCATCCCCTGAATCCCAAACTCTGTCCTTGACCCAACACTTTTCTATCTGGGGTTTGTCTGCTTGCTTTTTCTTTTCTTTTCTTTTCTTTTCTTTTCTTTTCTTTTCTTTTCTTTTCTTTTCTTTTCTTCTCTTTTCTTTCTTTCCTTCCTCCCTTCCTTCCTTCCCTCCTCCTCCTCCTCCTCCTCCTCCTCCTCCTCCTTCTTCTTCTTCGTTTGTTTTGGTTTTTGTTTGTTTCAAGACAATGTTTCTCTGTGTAGCCCTGGTTGTCCTGGAACTAGCTCTGTCGACCAGACTGAATCTGCCTGCTTCTGCCTCCTGAGCGCTGGGATTAAA